TATTAAGTACCTATTTATTAAATGAATATTAATTTTTTTTTATTGGCAAAATAATTTTTAATAAGTTAACTCAAGTAAAAAAAATGACAGCTTGTTTACTTATCAAAGAAAAAAAAATTAAAAAACTCACTTCATTTTTTACTAGTCATTACTGACTAACCTACAATTTTAATCTAAAACTAATTACTTATCTAAGAAGTCCCCATTGGGCTGTCTTAATTGTTTCTATAGAAAAGCATCACAAGTTGGCGTGACGATTTATTACACTGTTTTACACTAGCACTAACATTAACGTTCACTGCACTAGCTCAAAGTGCTTCTTTCTTTTGAGCCTTCTGTTGAGTGTAGAGTTGTCCAGTAGTTGCAGCGCTTTTTCGTTGACGTGGGAGTGGAGTCGATCCTTATGTTTCATAGCAAACCTCTTTATTTCTTCTTCAATTGTTGGCATCTTCAGGTCTCTATGAAAAAAATCGTTTCGATAGAACCAAGGTGCATCAACAATGCATCTTAGGACTCTATTTTGGAAAACTTGTATCATGTTGATATTACTCAAGTTTTTAACGCTTTTTTTTATGTGCTCTTTCCATTTAAGTCTTACATCTAGGATCATCCCTAGGTATTTGGCCGAATGGTGATGCGGAATAACGTCATTGTTTATTCTTATTTTTGTTCATTTGGTCAAAAAGTAAAATCAACATGCACTGATTTAGTTTGATTTATTTTTATTTTCCACTTTTTTGTCCATCGATTGATTCTGTTGCAGGTTTCCTGAAGTTTATCTGAGGTTTCTGTATTAGTTCCGCCAACTGCCAATATTGCAGTATCATCCGCAAATGTTGCTATTTTAACAGATTTTGGTTGAGGCATCTCTCTGGTGTATAATAAGTAAAGAACCGGTCCTATCACACTGCCTTGTGGGACATCTGCTTTAATTTCTTTAATTTCAGAGTATGTCTCGTCTTGCTTTACTCTAAACATTCTTATAGTTAGATATGATTGTAGAATGTCGACATATTGTCTAGGGAGCATTTTTTTAAGTTTCTGTATTAGGCCAGCGTATCAAACCTTGTCAAATGCTTGGGCTACGTCAAGAAATGTAGCTGAGCATATATATTTTTCTTCGTAAGCTTTTTCGATGATATCGGCTATCCTGTGTATTTGATCTATTGTCTAGTGTTTGTTTCTAAAACCAAATTGGTGCGAAGGAATCAGAATTTTATTTTCAATTATTGGTTTTAGTCGTTTAAGTAGTATTTTTTCAAATAACTTAGATATTATTGGTAACAATGATATAGGTCTATATGATGACACTTCATTCAGAGATTTTCCTGGCTTACGAATTAGGATAACTTCAACCACTTTCCAGGCATCAGGTATATATTAAAAGCGAAATTCTGCATTTATGAGGTATGTTAATTTAACAATAGCCTTCCGTGGTAGTTTCTTTAATATTTATCCAGTAATAAGGTCATATCCTGGGGCTTCCTGTGAGTTGATGTTTGTCTGAATTTCTTTCATAACTTTATTGGGAGTAACTAGCTTAATTTCAAGTTGTTTCATATTATGGATGGTCTCATTAGGAGTGTCTTGATTTTCATCTAATTGGAACGTCTTTTGTAAGTAGGCAGCAAAAATATCAGCTTTTTGTTGATTGTTTCTTGCCCATTTGTTATCTGCTATTCTGATTGGAGGACAGTGTTTCCACGAATTTTTCATCTTTTTAGTTGCCTTCCAGAGTGAATAATCAGTTTCTTTATCATCTGTTAGTCCTACTAGGTATCTGTTGAAGGATTTTTCTTTTTGGTTTAAGATTTTTCTTCTCAGTATTTGGATAGCTCTATTTAATATATTTTTATCTTCTGGTGATCTTATCACCTGCCATTTCTTTCTTAGTTTTCTTTTTTCTGCTACCAGTTCTCTTATCTCGACAGAACAGTTTTTTCCAGCTATTAATCTTCTTACTTTTGGTGTATTCCTCCATGCAGCTTGCTGGATTTCAACTTTAAACCTTTCCAGTTCTTCATCTAGCTGATTTTTCGTTTTTAGTATTCTGGTCAGTTGAATAGTATTTAAGTCCTCTTGAGAACCTTCCCAATTAGTTTTCCGATTTGCTAGGGTCAGTTTGGCTTCATTTGGATAACATTATCACTTAAAGTAAGGATTACTGCAGAATGGTCTGAATCCATATCAAAGTTTTCTTTTACTTGTGTATAGTTTGGTGAAATTTTCTTCAGAATAAAAAAATCCAAAAGGTCTGGAATCTTATTTGGGTCGGTGGGCCAATATGTGGGTTTTTCAGAAGATTGGTATGTACAACCAAGTTCTGATGCAGCTCGGTGCAATTCGTTTCCTTTGACTGTGGTTTATCTTAAACCCCAGCTGGTGTTTTTGGAGTTCTAATCTCCACCGATTATAAATTTGTTGCCTAGTTTTTTGAGTACATTGAGATAATTTTCTTTTTTCTGGTTGTATCTTGATGGGCAATAGATTGCAGCTATTATAATTTTGCCCCCCTTAATGTTAATGGTGCTAGTGGTTACCTGATTTCCTGGTTCTTGTATGCCTGGTTCCTCGTAGTGTGAAATTTTATTTTTAATAATTAACGCACTTCCTCCTTCTGCTGCATTTGATAGATGGATAGTGTGATAGAAGTTATGTCCTCTGAATTTAATGTTGTAAGGTGGGCCTCAGAAATCAAACATATATCTATTTTTTGTACGTCCAAGAAAACTTGGATATCAATTTGTTTTTGAAGAATACCATTGGCATTCCAAGCAGCTATTCTAATATCTCTTTTTGTCCATTGGTGGTTTTGTTATATGTTTGGGGTTTGTTTAATTATTCTAGTTTCTGGAGCCTGTCAGAGGGTAAATCTATTATGGTTATTAAGGATAATAATGATTCATGCGTAGTACTTTCTGCTAAGCTGGTTGACTGTGCAGTATGCTGTGCAATTTGTGGCGTGGGATTCATGGCTGGTTGTGACCTTTGAATTGGTTGCTGCTGTGAGTTTGTTGCCTGAGAATTAGTTATTTCATTTCTGACAGTAGGAAAAGTGTTTATGGATCTCTTCTGCCTAGTCATTATTTTAGGTTTAGTGGTGTTATCCTTCCTCATCTGAAAGGTTTAAGCTACCTCACATGCTCTGTAGTTAGCAGTATGTTCCATTAGGCAGTTTATATACTTCGCTTGTTGTTCTGGACTTTTTACACAATCCTTCGTATGATGTTTTCCTACGCACTTTACGCCTCTTGATTCTCTTTTGCAAAAGTTGTGCGTATGTTCAAATAGCTGGCAGTTTTTGCATTGCGGAACTAGTTTTGTCTTTATTATGATTTATATTCTAACTCTTAGATTAAGTATTGCTTTGATTTCCTTCTATATTAAATTGACATTTACATTTTAATCCTTGACTTTGCAAATCTTCAACAATATATTCTGGTTCAGATATAGATGGTAGACTTCTACCATTACCTAAATGTCTCTGTTCTGTTTAATTTCATAGGAATGCCAATTTATTTCTTTGGCATTCAAGGTTGGTATGACATTTTTGAAGTCTTCTTTTTGTTCAGTATTAATTTTAAACTGGTTATTGCTTAGAGCTGTGGCTTGAAAGGACATATTATTTTATGCCAGTGTATGGCGCAATTCTTCATACTTATTGATGTTGCTTGCTATTATCTGGGGAAATTTCACTGTTTTTTGACTGTTTCTTTCTCTTGTTGTTGATTTTTGCTACCACCAGGTTGGCCAGGAGAGGTTTCTGGAGAGAAGTTGGCTTTTCTTTTTTTTTTCTTCTATTGTTTCTGCTGTCCACTGTTATCCATTCTACTTCTTTGTTAATTTGATCGCCGATTTCTTTTGACAGTTCTTCTTCATCAGTTTTATAATTCTTTGGAATTTTAGATTTTTCTTTGTTTAAAATATTAATTTGTTTTTGCATATTTTCCATATTGTTTTGCATTTGTTGTAATGCACTTTCTAGTTGCTGTTTTTTTAGCTTTTTCCTGTATTCAAGCATTGTACAATGCCTGTTCATTCTGACTTCTAGCTTGATTTTCATGAAATAAGGCTTTATATTGTTGGGCTGATTTTCTCTCACTTCCATTGTTTCTATATTATTTGTTTGAGTTACCTAAATTAGGTCATGTTTTTTTTTGCTCCAAAAGCACTTTGGCAGGTGTAGATTCTGTTTTATTTTTTTTTACACATTGTAAAACTATTTTTAATGGCAAATTATTATTTTTATTTTTGTTCTTAAATATTACGTTTAGCAATCATTGTTGATTTTTTAAACAGTCGCGATTAAAAAATATGTACACTACATACACAAACGAAACTGACCTAGTTACGAAGTAATGTTAATAAACATACATCCTCACTTATCGACAGCCGAATATAAACTCACCTTGATAAGCCAAGGTACAAGATTCAAAATAAATAATTTATTGTTTCAAATATCTTTTCACTATAAAAACTGGAAGATTCAAACGAATGTAGCCAAAATATTTATAGGACTGTTCTTAATAACGATAGTAAACAAATTTTTATTCGAAAGTGACTCATCAGCGAATTGCATTGTAGTCGGCCGGCAATAACGTGTGTCATGCAGATGAGTCACTCTCAAATAAAAATTGTTATAGGTACTATAGTCAAATATCAGTACCCCAATTTCTGTTAACTGATCTCCAGTCTATGTAATTACCTTTTTACATATTTAAGAAATTAAATTGTAAATTTAAAATGAACTTTAATAAAAATATAACGTATGGTTGAGTAATAAGGAAGTATTTTTACTAAGCTATAACCAATTTTAAAATGTCGTTATATATTTTAACTGGCAACTAGAGGGAGTGATTTATGTTATTTGATACTTAGCCCTATTTATATTTTTTTCTGAATAAATTTCGAATTGATTGATATATTTACAACCATTCGCCACCCTTAATGAATTACTTTTTTTAAACAAATACAACAAATAACAAAGTAAATTATTTTAGGTGCATTTGATTAAAGATAAAGACGAAATGGCACAAAGAGCTTCGAAAGAACTTTGTCACATCTATAACATTACGTTTAGACTGGAATGTGGAAAACCACAGTTAGATGTTGAAACGGCTTTGATAATAGATTCGGTTAGCGTATTTATGCAGACACTTAATGCTCTAGAAATTACTCAAGGTCAATATTTAGACTGTGATACAGACGAGGAATGGACACAAGGGCTTAATATCATAAATGCTCTAAAATCAGTAAGTATTACGTTATTATGTTCTCAAATTTAATTACTGTTTCAGTTATAAAGTCTGTTTTTAAATGTTATATCAATATTGTAAAATTTAAAATTGGAAGTCTACGTTTATAACTTGTATATAATATGTCTTACTAAAATTTTCAGGGTACATTTGAGGGTGTTACAGGACAAATTGAATTCAATAACGATGGTTTTAGAAAAACTTTCCAGTTAACGATTTACCAAATAGGTGACGATTTCTACAACAGAGGAACTTGGAACACTTCTGATGGTTTAAGCGAAGATATAGAGTTAACATTTTCAGAAGAAAGTGATGACGACGGCGATCTTATAAATAAGGAGCTTACGGTGCTGATTGCTTTAGTAAGTTTTTATTTTTGCAATAAAAATGTTAAAATGTGTAAATTTATCTAAAAAAGATTTTACGAGGTTAAAAAAATATTTTTTTTTTAATAATTTATACGCAGAGCCATCGACAATGTTAATGACTTTTCTATTTGTTATTTTACATTTCAGTAGTAATAAAATTAGTCATGCTTTGTCATTTAAAGCACATCAATCTAACAATCAAAGGGTTAAGAGTAACTTAAATTTATTGAATTTACGTAGGTATGAAATTTCAAATATTTTAATGTTCTGCTTTTTTTCCATCAGTTGAAGTGCGTCCATCTACCATATTGCAAAATAGTGTTTATGTCGTCTCTACTTTATTCTATCTCGATGGTTCAAACCGTCGAAATTAAATGAAATAGAGGTAGAGACGACATTAACAGCCGTATGCATAGTCGATCATCAGCGATTCGCCAGCGGATCGCTGTTGATACTGCCGAGATGAATCTCTCGCAAATTTTCATGTTATTTTATAATAAAAATAGTTTTTATGTTCTTTTATCGGAAAAAATTTGATATTCGTTCATTGTTTTTTGAGTTTTAAGAAATGAATTATGAATAACATGCGAGAGATGCCGGTGACAATCTCCAGCAAGTCGCCACCTTTTCGGACTTTCGCCAGCGGATCGCTGGTGATACGCCGGCGAATCGCTGGCGATCGACTATGCATACTGGTGTTAAACTATTTAGCGATATGACAGATGGCTGCAGTTTGAATGATGGAAAAGTGTAATAAAAATGGCGTCATAGAATCGCACTTTCATTTATTTGAAGTCAATAATATATTTAATTATTTATATCATTTAAAAAAATTCCCTTTATTCTAAACAAAACTGACTAGCTCCATTAGTTAGAGTTTGACATATGCGCTGTATACAAAGTTGACAAATGACATGTCACCACAAGGAAGCAAAGGCCTCTTTTCTCTCTGATTTGTCTTAAATTAATTTTTTTATCTGTTATAAATTTAAGAAGTAAATCCATTAAAATATCCTTAATTAAACCTAGATTTGAATAATAATATTTTTAAATAAAATTAACTAGTAAAAACATTAAAAAAACACGTTTAAAACTCAAATATCCTAAAAAATATTATAAGAACACAACTGGTCTCTAACACATTTCTTCTTATTAGGAAAAAGATTATTAAAAAAGAAGCACTAATGCTAATTATAAAACGAGTATAAATACCCTTTTTTGAATATTTAGTCCAGTTTAATGTTTAATGCTTAATCATAATACTAATAATAAGGAAGTATAAGTGTATTAAATTTTGGTGAAAGTTCTTTCGTACAACCGGCTGTTATTGTAATTTTTTTATTCTTTTTTAGACTGAACCATACGCACGTTTGAAAGAGTCTGCTTTCCACCTCAAAGGAAATGATAGATTTGAAGGCTTTGCAATTGATTTGATCGAAGAAATGGCACTCTTAGAGGGTTTCGCTTATACTCTTGTGGTAAGAGAAGATCACAAACATGGATATTTTGATTCCAGAACTGGAAAATGGAATGGAATGATAGGGGATATTATAGAAGGGGTATGAACTAATTTACAAATACAATAGTAGTTTTTGCAACAATAGTGGATATAGAAAATCCACTTGAGTTGTACAGTATATTTTTCTATGACCCACTAACGAAAATCTACAATTATTAAAAATTATTTTAGGTTATTAGGATAAATTAATTAATTTAAAAATAATTTATGACTTTTACTAATTAATAAAATAAATTAAAATAAACAAGAAAAAAAAATCTCATTTCCTTTTTGTCCATTTGAGATTTGAACTCGAGTCTTCCGTATGGAAGGCAAGAACCCTGACCACAGAATCATCTAAGCATTTAATTTTTTTTGCTTTAATACTCGTAATTAAATTGATTTCATATAGTTTTATTTAAATTAACAAATTATTTATTATTACAGACGAAATAAAAATATAATTTCTATTATTGTATTTATGTATTCTACTGAATAACTGATTTTATTGTATATTTAATCCTAATAACTAAAAAATATACTGACAATTAGTTTGAGAGAATTGTCACTTATTTAAAATTCTGAAAATAATAGCAGTCGGTTGTTTTAATTTTTTTGCAGTGTTCTCACTACCTAGAATGAATATGAAATATATTCGGTCATTTGAAGGCAATACCATACTTTTACGTTTTGTAATTTGTGCGTAGATAAGCTAATATCCATGTGGGGTGTAGAAAAATTATGTGTTTTACATATCCAAATGGATATTATCTATTCTACTCACAGATTACAAAACAAAAAAGTTGGCCATTGCATTCAACTGAACAAATATTAATTTCATATCCACTTTGCCAAATAAGAACACTGCACAAATAATATAAGATCCAATAATCACCGTTCATATTTTAGTCACCAGACAACTATTATATTTGTAAATTTTAAATAAGTTACAATTCTGTCAACATAAATTATTGTCAGTTTTATTTTAAAGTTTTTGAGATTAAATATATTTACAACTGATAGCATTTCACAAGATATTCGTCTGTATTTACAAAATAAAAAAAATCAAAAATTCAAATTTTATTAAAACCACATAAAATCATTTTAATTATGAGTATTGGAAATTAAAAGTTAAGTGTGTCAAAAGAGCCAAGAGTTATTTTATTATTTTATCTTAATGACCTAAATAAATTTTCATAAATTATAAATTTTCATTGGTGGGTCATAGAAAAATATACTGTACAACTCAAGTGGGTTGTCCGTATCGCACTCAGACGATTGAGCACTCCACCTACGGCGTCGTGCTAAATCTTCGTCTTATTGCAATATGGCCATCATATCCAACTCTTGTTGCACAAACTACTATAAATAAAAGGTCTTCAACAATATCCGTATCTCACCTGATCTGGTAAAACAAGAAATTTAATGAAAATGGCCGTACGTAGACTTTTATGAAAACTTTTGTATCAGTTCTGTCAAATAGGTCAGTGACATTATTTTAGGGTTTCTACTGAAGTAATGACTGTTACTTTTAGTCAGTGTTATGACATAAATTTAGTTACGTGGTATAAGGGTATTGTTGAAGACTTTGTACTATATTATGGTTAGTTTGTGCTGAAAATAAGTGGAATTATATTATAGCTTTCCACTGCGACCTAGATGGATCTAGTGTTATACTGTATTATGCAATGAGCATTAAATAATAGCTAAGGTATAAGCATGATCACGAGAAAGTAATAAATACAATTATTAGCCATTAGAAGTGACTTACATACTCTATTTCTTGCAATTTACTTTTAAAATGTTATACACTTCTTGCTCCCGGTTTGCAGAAATGTTAATTAAAATTTAATAGGCTAATAAACTTTGACAGATATTTAAGTTGTAAATAATTTAAAGTTCATGTCACAATCGTAAGATCTTTCACAGTTTATCAAGAAACCATAACTTTTAATGGAGGTTTTTTTAACAACCAACTACTCTAAAGCACTAGTGTAAGAATTGATAGGTATATAACTACGGTTATTAATATACTATTAAGGGATAAAGGCAGGACTGTCACCAGCCAAAGAGTCTTAGAGTTCCGGAGGAACATCTATTTACCAATGGCTAAAAAAATAATGAAAAATAAGAAACAAAATAATCCCTTAATCGCATAGTGGAGCGGTTTTGGAAAGTGGTTAAAGGGGTCCGTATAAGATTAAGAGTCTGTAAATAAAAAAGAAAAAAAAATTAACAATAAAAAGTACTCATTTTATATAAGGCGTTTTCGAAATCCTACTACAGATGACCAATCCAGATTACTGGGTTTACCCAATGGATCACTGAACTTAGTGCCGACAGTTTACGAATGAGTTGGATTCACATACTTTGATTTTCTTTTACTTTACTATACGGAGAGCATGTTTCAATTCTGTCATCTATCTCGGCACCATAGCCAAAATAAGACGTTTTGATTGGTTGCATTGTATTAGCTGACTGAGTGCCGAGATCGCGGTCGGAAATGACTGCGGAGTGCTCAGATGGTAGTTGGAATTGACTGTAGGTATTATTCACATACGCGCCACGTGCTCAGCTGTGACACGTTTATTGTCATGCAGTAATTTTATTTTACATAAAGGTATTTACGTTAATTGAAACTACCTAAGTATGGAAAAATTATTACCCACATCGTTTCGTAACTTAAGTCTTTATACAAGTGTATTCGAAGTAATATAAAAATCTGATGTGTCCAACACATGACTTTCCTATCTAGTTATTACAGGCTTTTTCCGTTTATTGTGTACAACCTATTGCAGCATCACTATAAATGTTTAGAGGATAAACTAAATATATACATTGTCCACATACATCTACCGCGAAACATTTTTCTATAGATATTCATTGAAAATGAAAATACTGAAAAATTTAAATTTAGCACTTTTCCTACAATTTTTCCATTACGGTCCATTTTAAAAAAATCATGTATGAACAAATATTATAGAGATCAATATCGCAAACAACTTTTATTTCAACAATTTTCATAAAAATCAGAATTTTGCACATTTTGTCAAATTTTTCGAATACGGACCATTTCAGGAAATTTTTACATGAAGCAAAAATTATAGATAATAATATTAAAAGTAACTTTTATTTGAACAATTTTTTTCTCCAAACATAAATAACAGATATATTCCATAAAATATAAAAACGGCCTCCCATAAAGTACCCCCCAGATGTTCCGACTTTGTCCAAAATCTAATCATTTCACGTAAGGCCGAAATAAAACTTAAGTTTAAAATTTAATGTTTTTTTCTTTATCCGTTTTTGAGTTTTCTTCAAATTTCGAAATTTACACATTTTCTCAAATATCTTGAATACGGTCCACTTTAGAGAAATTATCTATAGGATAAAAATTATAGAGAATTATATTACAAACAACTTTTGTTTGAACAATTATTATAAAAAAAAATATTTTTTTACATTTTGTCAAATTTCGCGAATACGGACCATTTTAGGAAAATTTTGTATATAACAAAAATTATAGATAATAAAATAAGAAGTAACTTTCATTTAAAGAAATTTCTTCCCCAAACGTAAATAACAGATATATTCCATAAAATTTAAAAATTGCCACCTATAAAGTACCCCCCCAGATGTTCCGACTCTGCCCAAAATCTAATCAGCTCATTAGACGCTGGAACAAAGCTTAAGTTTGAAATTTGGTGTTTTTCCGTGTATCGGTTCATGAGTTATGCGTTATACAGACACACACACACACACACACACACACACACACACACACACACAGACACACAGACACACAGACACACACACACACACACACACACACACACACACACACACAGACATCATCGCGAAAATAGTCAAAACGGATTCAGGGGACCTCAAAACGTAAAAATCCGTCGAAAACTCGAGGTCGAAAAAAATCATGATTCCTATACTTTCCTTATATCTGTATACAGATAGGAAAGTAAAAAGTGGCCAATGGGTAGAAGAATATAGTGTATTGAGCAAAACAAACTGGAACATTCAAAAGTGCATTAAGTCAGATATATTTGTAGTTAGGTAAGACATAATTTAAGTAAATTGGGTAATTAATACAGTATTACGTATGCATGTCTTTTTTCCAGAATTGTTTATCTATGCCGTCATACAAATTTTAAAAGAGTAGATCCTAAATGTAATAAACGAGGGCGGTCCAAAAATTGTGGTTGTCCAGCAGAAATGCATATTAAAATAAAATTAACCACCAAGGATACCACGAAAAATGATACTTATGTTAAGCGTATTAACTGATAACAAGTTGGTTGATGTAGTATAGATTAAAAAGGAAAGACTTGTATTTCGTGCAAAATTTTTAATAATTAAATGCAAAGCGCTTTCGGCAAGGTGCCATCATCAGTGTGTAAAAATAAAATCTAAGTAAGTTCTTACAGTCAAAAGTTAAAAGATAAGGTAATTTTGAACAATTTAACAATTAAAAGAGATCAAACAGAGTGACATAACCCAATGTTGGGGATAGTGAGTGTGGGATAACCCCTAAATCATATCTGATCTCCAGAAGCCAGTTAGCTTGTGTGGAATTAAGGAATTATACCACCTTCACTTTTCATATTGAGTACAATTGAAAATAAGTTAACAAATTAAGACATACATCCAGAGCCACAATTAAAGGACAACCTACAATAATAAGCCAAAGAACGACTTTAATTCAAGGAAGAAAACGCTTCACAGGTGGTCAGCTTTCGAAAGATTCTTCAAAACGAAAAAAAAAAATCAAACGACCGAGAAATTTGCATATTAATGTTGACAATCATGTTCCAAACGCAACAGGGCATTGATTATGTATTGCCCTACGAGTTATTCATTTTTTGTTCCTGTTAATTTGTTAATGTAGGTATCTTATTCCTTTCACTTAATAAAATGGTGTTAATTAAACATTGCGTGTGATCATTATTTCCATAGAAAATCGCGGTTTTAGCTGGTTTTAGTTCCGTCTTTGATCTCGGCACTCCACAGTCATTTTTGACCGTGATCTCAGCCGATACAATGCAACCA